GAAGGATATATAGGGACGTTGGTGCATCATTTACATAAAATCGGATGAGCATATATATGGGAGCTATATCGAAATCTCGACCGATTTTCCCGAAACTCACCACTCATCATTCTTGACTCAATTTAGAACGCTAAGCCAAATTTTGTGCAAATCGAAGCATATAAAAGGACATTGATGCACTATTTACCGAAAATCGGACGAAAATATATATGGGAGCTATATCTAAATCTGAACCGATTTTCACAAAATTTAACACACATCGTTCTAGACTTAATTCTGTACGCTATGCCAAATTTCGTGCAAATCGAAGTATATATTGAGACTTTGGTATACCATTTACATTAAATCGGACGAAAATATATATGGCAGCTATATCCAAATCTGAACCGATTTTCACGGAAAATTAACACACATAATGCTAGACCTGATTCATTACGCTGTGCCAAATTTCGTGCAAATCGAAAGATATATAGGGACTTTGTTACACAATTTACCTTAAATCGGACCAAAATATATACGGGAGCTATATCCAAATCTGAACCGATTTTCAGGAAACTTGACACACCTCGTTCTAGACTTAATTCATTAAGCTGTGCCAAATGCTGTGCAAATCGAAAGATATATAGGGACTTTGGTACACAATTTACCTTAAATCGGACGAAAATATATATGGGAGCTATATGCAAATCTGAACCGATTTTCACGAAACTTTGCACACATCATTCTAGACCTAATTCATTACTCTGCCTCAAATTTCGTGCAAAGCGAAAGATATATAGGGACCGTTTACATTCCAATTTCAATAGGGTTCGTCCTTGGGCCGAAAAAGTGACCTATGCCAAATTTCATCCAATTCGGATTATAAATGCGACCTGTACTTTGTTTACAATTTAACATCGACAGACAGACGGACGGACATGCATAAATCGACTCAGAAAGTGATTCTATGCATATTCTAAAAAGGAACCATGTGTCTATCTCCTTTTGCCTGTTACAAACATATGCACAAAGTCATAATACCCTGTACCACAGTGTGGTGAAGGGTATAAAAAAACTAAAAAAATTTCTAGAATTGTTTACAATATAAACTTAATTTTTTTCCTATTTCCCATTAATATAAAATCTTACACAACATTTTTATTAAAATAAAATAACATCATAAAATATCTTATCTGTCTACCATCTATAGCAAACCCCAAAGATTTTTATATATTTATAGACAACATGAAAATGTAAATATTTATTTTGTATAAGTCCCTTTTGACAAACCTCCTCCTCGACCAACAATCAAATCTTATGTCTCTGACTTTTTGCAAGAAAAAAAAATATTATATAAGAGACAATCAAGGAACGACAGACATATGATTGATTGTAAATTATTGTTACCATTTTGCATGAAAATAACTTAATATGATTGAGTGAATGAACGAGTGAATATCCTTTGTCACGAATATGTAATCCCCTTGAAATGAAAGGCTTTCCATAAGACATGAATGGCAGAAATCTGTGTTACAAGAATTGTAAAAAAATCCCTAAGGGGTTTTTGTGAAAATTACGAGTAGAAAAAATCTGTAGGTGGAAGAGGATAAATGAAATATGTGTTTATTATGTAAAATAATTGTGAGACATTTATTGTATGAAGTTAAGGTAGTGAGAGGTGGTTTGCAGAATGAAATATATGAATATTGTTGCGATTTTCTGTGGAAAATATTAAAATAATAAAATTTTCTAAAGAAAATTGTTCTATTATCGTACTGCATGAATCCACTCATTTTTATACCCTTCACCACACTGTCGTACAGGGTATTAAGTCTTTGTGCATATGTTTGTAACAGGCAAAAATAATCGAGATAGACCCATGGTTCCTTTTGAGAATATGCATAAAATCACTTTCTGAGTCGATTTATGCATGTCCGTCTGTCCGCCCGTCCATGTATTTTTGTTTACAAAGTACAGGTCGAATTGATCATCCGATTTGGATGAAATTTGGCACAGGTCACTTAATTGGCCCAAGGACGAACCCTATTGAAATTGGAGAAAATCGGTCCACGTATAGGCATTGCTCCCATATAAGGGTACCCCCTTATTCGTTGAAATTTGGTACTTTGAGTTCTTATTGGGTAGCAAATCTCCCTACCAAAAATCATAAATAAAGGTCCATTTTTTCGGATAGCCCCCATATAAGGGTACCCCCAATGATCGCATCTTTCGACCGAATTCGATGAAATTTGGTACTTGGAGTTCTTATTGGGTAGAAAATCTCCCTTGGACTCGTTTTATAACTGAATTCTCTGAAATGTTGTACATTGGGTTCTTATTGAGTACCAACTTACTCCACTAAAAATTATAAATATAGGTCCAATTTTTCTGGTAGTCCCCCCAAAAATTTTGGTATTTTGGGGGTTCTGATCGTATTTTTCGACCGAATTGACTGTAATTTAGTACGTCGAGTTCCTATTAGGTAGCAAATCTCTCCACTATCAATTATAAACATAGGTCAATTTTTTCGGGTAGCCCCCATATAAGGGTACCCCCAATTTTCGGTATTTTGGTTTGGGTTCTTGAACCAAATCCTTTTTATACCCTTCACCACACTGTGGTACAGGGTATTATGTCTTTGTGCATATGTTTGTAAGAGGCAAAAATAAACGAGATAGACACATGGTTCCTTTTGAGAATATGCATAGAATCACTTTCTAAGTCGATTTATGCATGTCCGTCCGTCCGTCCGTCTGTCTGCCTCTCTGTCTGATGTTAAATTGTAAACAAAGTACAGGTCGCATTTTTAATCCGATTTGGCTGAAATTTGGTACAGCTCATTTATTTGGCCCAAGGATGAACCCTATTGAAATTGGGAAAAATCGGTTCAGTTTTAGATATAGCTCCCATATATATTTTTGGCCGATTTTTGGTAAATGGCGCAACAAAGACCCTGAAAATCTTTCGATTTGCACCAATCGATTTGCATAGCGTACTGAATTATGTCCAGAATGATGTGTACCATGTTTCGAGAAAATCGGTTCAGATTTAGATATAGCTCCCATAAGTGACCTGTGCCAAATTTTATCCAAATCGGATCATAAATGCGACCTGTTGTTTGCTCACAAACATGTATGGACAGACGTACGGACAGACGGACATGCATAAATTGACTCAGTAAGTGATTCTATGCATATGTTGGTCTTGTAAACGTGATCATATGACTGATATAGTTCCCCATTATTAATGGCATACCTTCCCTTTTATTATGAAAAATATATTTTTTAATAACACACCCGAACTAGGAATGTCAAAATATTCCGGGTTCCTGATGGGTGACTCCATCTTTGGCATAGCACGAACTTTGGCATAGCGTACTGAATTACATTTAGGATGACGTGTGCTAAGTTTCGTGAAAATCGGCTCAGATTCAGATATAGCTCCCATATATATTTTCGTCCGATTTACGGTAAATGGTCCACCAATGCTCTTATATATCTATCGATTTGTACGAATTTTGGCACAGCGTACTGAATTAAACCTAGAATGATGTGTACAAAGTTTCGTGAAAATCGGTTCAGATTTCGATATAGCTCCCATATAAATTTTCGTCGGATTTAAGGTAAATGGAGCACCAAAGTCCCTGTGTATCTTTCGATTTGCACGAATTTTGGTATAGCGAACTGAATTACGTCCAGAATGATGTGTGCTAAGTTTCGTGAAAATTGGTTCAGATTAACATACACCTTCTACATATTTCGTCTGATTTACGTAAATGGTGCACTAAAGATCCATAGCTATTCCGATCTCTGGCAAGTTTCCTGGAATCAGTCCAAATATATATATATATATATATATATATATAGCATAACTTCCGTATATAGTTTTGACTTATTCATATTAATTGTACACCAAGTATGCAATGGGTGTCTGATTGAGATTAAATTTTAAACAATGCAGCATAGCCCTTGTCAAGTTTGCTTTAAATCGATTCACAAAATTTAGCATAGGTTGCAGAATGACATGTGTAGGGATTGATATTAGTCGGTTTAGATAAAGACCACATATTTAAGTTCGTTTAATCTCGTGTCAATGTTCTTTCGAAATGTCGACGTCTTTTAGGATACATATGAAGAATATACCCAAAGTATTGAAGTGTATTATATAGTGGGCCCAGTTCGACTTTACTACTTTCTTTACTGGTTTTGAATAAATTTATGATCCAAGATGCATTTTTACAAAGAGGTGGTATTCCTGACATTAGATGGGTTAAAAACTAGTTATGACATAGTTGTCCATTCTTGGAATTTTAGTGCTTTCGGAATCTTTGAAGACAAAAACTTTTTGCGCAAATCTTTTTTAGGGGTTTCCATTTTGACGTCCACATTGGACCTGTATGTATTTTTATGGTTCAATCCTCATTTTAAGAAATGATATAGCTATATATAGGTATTTCGACATTATAGAGAATAAGTGCTGGTCCTTTCCGCTCTGATCCATCATAGGTTATTATGTCATATAGAGGGAAACAATTTGGATTACATGTTGTCTACTTAATTATGTGCGTCAAGTATGCTTTAAACCATTTCAGTTTAGATGTAGGTCCAATATATTTGTCGTATTATTTTGAAACTGGTTTAAGTTCATTTTTCCTTTCATTGAGATATTTAAAGGTTTGGGTTGATTTTTGTTTCTAAAATATTGTTATGTAATATTAAATTTGTTTGTGGCTTTGTGCCTTCAACATGATAGTATATATGGAAAACCAAGATTTGTACCAGAACCTAAAATGGTTTTAGACCACTTTCAAAATAAACAACTTATATAATTTATTCCGATTTTACACTCCAAAGACACTACGACTTCCAATTGGCATGTAATTTAACATGATATAGTCCGACTGGTTTTTTTGTTGACATGGTTTAAATATAAGGTTCCCAACAGGTTTAAAAAAATTCGACTGCCTTATAATGTGGAGTATGCAAAGTTTGACGTCGTTTACATTTTCTTTTTCTTCTTACCTCCTTTTGAAGCGCTAAACGTCCGTAATCTATCCAAATCCTCATCATCGGAAACTCTGAGATGATGCATGTTCATGGTGGGTACATCAAGAAATGCATTGGATTTTCGCTGCGCTGTAAAAGATCAAAAATATAAAAAGTTATTAGCTATGGAAGAAACTTTAATTTTATCTGAAATTAATTTAAGATTTTTTTTTTTTGTTAAATTCTTTTAAGGTATTTCAATATTCTTTTATTATAAAACTAACATTTTCAATTGTTCCGTTTCTCTCTGGTTGGAGTGATTCCAGAAACGATTTCATTTCGTCACGCATCAATGACCTTTTCTTTTGAGTCCGGATAAAACCATAAATGCGGTTAACAATTTAAGACCATAAAAACTGTTGGGACAAATTGTTACCAAATATCACTTCGTTGCGATGGCTGTGACGCAAAATAATTGTCATTGTGTCACAAATATAACCAAGTAGACCAAGTCTATGGTCTAGGGATTTTAAGTGTGGCGCCATTTGATAGATTTTCCTCTTTTTGTTAGTTTGTCCGAACAGAAACAGAATAAAATGGAACATTATCTCAATGACTGTGCATTTCTATTTTGGCAAACGATGAAGTTGTGGAATTGAAATAGAACATAAATTAAAATTCTATTACAGCAATTACATCAAGTTCTACTGCAAAGAGGCGTATTGACATTTGTAATTCATTTGTATGGGGAGGCGTATAATTATTGTGAATGTGTATTTGGGAACAAGGCTATGGTATGAGCAATGGGCATATGGAAGAAATTCCGAGGGCGTATGAGTGATGTAAATAGCATAGGACTTTTAAATAAATATTTTTTCTGAGACCTGCGGATTTTTAAAAAAATATTTCTTTTCAGGAATTTTTAAACAAATATTTGTTTGGTCCTATTTTTAAAGAAATATTTTTCAAGGCCTACTAAGTCATGGATTATCAAATAAATATTATTTTAACGTGCATTTTTATACCCTTCATTTCGGTACAGGGTAATTCATTTGTATGGGGAGGCGTATAATTATTGTGAATGTGTGTTTGGGAACAATGCTATGGGACGTATGAGCAATGGGTATATGGAAGAAATTCCGAGGGCGTATGAGTGATGTAAATAGCATAGGACTTTTAAATAGATATTTTTTCTGAGACCTGCGGATTTTTAAAAAAATATTTCGTTTCAGGGATTTTTAAACAAATATTTTTTTCGGTCCTATTTTTAAAGAAATATTTTTCAAGGCCTACTAAGTCATGGATTATCAAATAAATATTATTTTAACGTGCATTTTTATACCCCTCATTTCGGTACAGGGTATTATGTCCTTGTGCATATGTTTGTAACAGGCAAAAGGAAACGAGATACGAGAATATGCATAGAATCACTTTCTGCGTCGATTTATGTATGCCCATCCGTCCGTCTGTAGATGTTAAATTGTAAACAAAGTACAGGTCGTATTTATGATCCAATTTGGATGAAATTTGGCACAGCTCATTTATTTGGCCCAAGCACGTACCCTATTGAAATTGGGAAAAATCGGTTCAGATATAGATGCAGCTCCGGTATACAGTTTCGACCGATTTAAGGTAAATGGGGCACAAAAGTCCCTATATATCTTTCCATTTGCATGAAATTTGGCATAGAGTTCTGAATTAGGTCCAGAATGCTGTGTGTTATGTTTCGTGAAAATCGGCTCAGATGTAGATATAGCTCCCATATATAGTTTTGTTCGATTTTAGGTAAATGGTGCACCAAAGCCCCTATATATCTTTCGATTTGCACGAAATTTTTCGTAGTATACTGAGTTGTGTCTAGAATGATGTGATTCAAATTTCAAGAAAATCGGTTCAGATTTAGATATAGGTCCTATATGCATTTTCGTCTGATTTAAGGGAAATGAGGCACCAAAGTCCCTATATATCTTTCGTTTTGAACGAAATTTGGCATAGGGTGGTGAATTAGGTCCAGAATGATATGTGTCAAGTTTCAAGAAAATCGGTTCGGATTTAGATATAGCTCCCATATATAGTTTGCCCGATTTTATGTAAATGGTACACCAAAGTCCCTATATATGCTTCGATTTCCACGAAATTTTGCGTAGTATATTTAGCTGTGCCTAGAATGATGTGTGTCAACTTTCAAGAAAATCGGTTCAGATTTAGATATAGCTTCTATATATAGTTTTGTCCGATTTAAGGTAAATGATGCACCAAAGCCTCTATATATCTTTCGATTTGCACGAAATGTTGCGTAGTATACTGAATTGTTTCTAGAATGATGTGTGTCAAATTTCGAGAAAATCGGTTCAGATTTTGATATAGCTCCTATATATATATATATTTTCGTCCGATTTAAGTTAAATGGGGCACCAAAGTCCCTATATATCTTTCGATTTGCACCTAATTTGGCATGGTGTACTCAATTGAGTATAGAATGGTGTGTGTTAAGTTTCGAGAAAATGTATTCGTCCGATTTAAGGTAAATGGGGTTTCAAAGTCCCTACATATCTCTCGATTTGCACGAAATTTGGCATAGGGTACTGAATTAGGTCCTCTATATATTTTAGATATCGTCGATTAATTGTAAATTGTGCACTAAAGACCCAAAGTTTGGCTAATTGGCACACAATTGTTGTTATGCATTTTCATGGGGATTTTCATGCCTTTGAGATGAAAATCTGTCCCTACCATAGCTCGTGTGTTAAGTTTCGAGAAAATCGGGTTAGATTTAGATTTAAGTTCGTGCAATTTCATGACAATATTCCTTCGAAAAGGCGACGTCTATATATATGTAGAATATACCCAAAGTGGTGAAGGTTGAAGTTACTGGTTTATTAAATAAAAATGTAGTGTATATTATTATTAACCATTTTGTTCAAAAATTCCCCATAGAAAATATTGTTATTATCGGCATGGTTTTATATTTATTAAAATATACCTTTGCTGAATACTTGTCAAATATTTCACTTATTTAATAATAGCATACAAATCAATCACACATATCCATGGCTGAATAGGGAATGGGGGCGTATTACATATGCGGTTGTACAACAATTAATATTCATCATACGCTTCAGTGGTTAATCTTTTTAACATAAAATTACAGTTTATTTTGCATAAAACACAGAGCGAGGAAGATAGATAGAGAGAAAGAGAGACATTACATCAACATTTGAAATGTTGAGTCTGACAACGTCACTCATTCAACCACACACAAACACACTCACACACTTTATGATGCATTGTGTGAATGACGAATGACTGGGATTGGGAGCTATACACGTTAATGTTTCAGACATTGTTTCAAGTTTTTTATGATAATTGAATGTGGACTCGGGGCTTTTTTGTTTATGAAGAACATTAAAAAACCTCTAAAGTATTTAATAAATGATTTTATGTTACCAAGCAGTTGAAGAAGGCGAAGAGTAAACACAAAGCACCGAAACAAAAACCCCAAAAAACAAAATGTTGTGCTCATAAAAACTGCTTGTTTATGGCATTTTCTAATTTTGTGGTGGGATTTAACTCACACGCACTCACACACCCAACAGACACATAATTTTTAATATTCTGCCAAAAACATATCGAAAGGTACTTTATTTTAATATACCATTGGCATTTTTATGATTCAATTTTTTTTGCGGAGAATCGTGGATTTTTGTTTTGGAAATTAACACGCAAACACATAAATATGTTTCGGTCAGAGAAGAAGAAGAAGCAATCAATGCCGGAAGCCATTAACTTGTTGTTCGCCAAGGAACGACAACTGAAAATTGTTGTACTTAACTTTGTAGGATTTGTGACTTATGTTAATGTTAATACGCCAAGCTAATAAAATTTGTGGCTTAAGTGATGTCAAAGCGAAATTTGAAGTGCATAAGGAGATTTGTTAAAGACTTTAAAGGAGTGTATATTAAATACTATTGCAGGGTAAATTAGGAGTGGATTTTTAAAGAAATATTTTTTAGATTTTTTAAAAGAAGTATGTATACTCTACACCACAGGGTATTACGTCTTTTTGCATATTTTTGTAACAGGCAAAAGGAAACGGGATAGACACATTGTTCCTTTTGAGAATATACATAGAATTACTTTGAAAGTCGATTTATGTATGTCCGTCCGTCTGTCTATCCGTCTATAGATGTTATATTGTAAACAAAGTACAGGTCGCATTTATAATCCCAATTAGATGAAATTTGGTACAGCTCATTTGTTTGGTCCAAGGACTAACCCTATTGAAATTGGGAAAAATCGGTTCAGATTTAGATATAGCTCCCATATATATTTTTCTTCGATTAAAGGTAAATGATGCACCAAAGTCCCTATACATCTTTGGATTTGCACGAAATTTGGTACAGCGTAATAAATTAAGGCCACAATGATGTGTGCTAAGTTTCGTGAAAATCTGTACAGATTTAGATATAGCTCCCATATATATTTTCGTCCGATTTAATGTGAATGATGCACCACAGTCCCTATACATCTTTCGATTTGTACGAAATTTTGCATAGGGTACTTAATTATATCTAGAATGATGTGTTTTACGTTTCGTGAAAATCGGTTCAGATTTAATTATAGCTCAATATAATACCCTAAAAAATCAAAGTGCCTATATATCTTTGGATTTGCACGAAATTTGGCACAGAGAACTGAATTGAGCCTAGAGTGATGTGTGCTAAGTTTTGTGAAAATCTGTACAGATTTAGATATAGCTCCCCTATATATTTTCGTCCGATTTATGGTAAATGGAGCACCAAAGTCCCGAAATACCATTCGATTTGAACGAAATTTGGCACAACGTACTGAATTGAGCGTAAAGTCGTGTGTGCTAAGTTTTGTGAAAATCGGTTCAGATTTAGATATAGCTCCCATATATATTTTCGTCCGATTTAATGTAAATGGTGCATCAAAGTCCCTAATTATCTTTGGAATTGCACAGAGAACTGAATTGAGCCTAGAGTGATGTGTGCTAAGTTTCGTGAAAATCGGTTGAGATTGAGATATAGCTCCCATATATATTTTTGTCCGATTTATGGTAAATGGTGCACCGAAGTTCGAGTTTATTTTTCGTTTTGCACGAAATTTTGCATATGTATACTGAATTG